AAAATTCTTACGTTGAAGTTCTAACCATAAGTGTGGCAATATGTGGAATAAGAAAATAATTAACATTAAACGATTATAGCCAAGTGTTATGGCACACACCTGTAATCCCAGCGTTCTGGAAGGGGTGGCAGGAGGGCCTCCACAAATTGGAGGCCAGCCTGGGCTACAAAGTGAGTTCAAGGCCAGCCTAAACCATATAATGAGACCCTGCCTCAAAAAAGACCAAAAAAATAAAAAAATGATCATGAAGGTGGAGTTCTGGTCCAGTAGGATTAGCGTTCTTAAGGAGGAAACCCCAGAGCTTGCTAGCTCTCTCTTTCCCGCTGGGTGCGCCCACAGTGAGAAGGTAGCCAGCTGCAAGCCAGGAAGAATGTCCCTCCTGGGAACCAAATTGATTAATACTTCAATTTTGGACTGGCTGGCTTCCAAACCTGAAAGAATAAATTTCTACTTGTGGTATTTAAACCACAAAGTATATTTTGCATGGCATTGTAAGGAGACTAATTTATTGTAGAGTATACAATAAATTTAAACTTTTTCTTTAATATCTTTGCAACAAAAATTAATCTATCTCTAAGGAAAGTTTTTAAGGTGGATATTTGCTTGCAAAAGGACAATTACAGGGCTGGGGATTTAGCTCGACAGCAGATCCCGTTACCAAACAAACAAACAAACAAAAAAGGACAACTGTAGTCAATTATTTGTTGCAACTTACCTTAAATATATACAAGACAAAAAAGTTTTACCTGTGGAGGATGTCCTTTATTTTCCTGTTCTTCATGTTAAAAGTAGTTTGTTTAAAACAATTTGTACATCCCTAGCTAATCCTCAGGAAACATTCTCAGAAGTAAAATTATTAAACTGAAGACTCCTTTGGTTTGAACCCGGAATGCTGCCCAAGACCTGTCTGTTAACAGGCTTGGTCACCAGCCTGTGGCACTCTAGGGAGGATGAAACATTTAAGAAATGGATCTAGGGGAAGGATTTTAGATCGTTAAGGGTGTACTGCTGAAGGGCACAGTGAAGCCTTAGTCCCTTTCTCTTCTTTTTTGAATCCTGGCCACAGAATGACCACCCACTCCTGCCACGATGAGCCTTCTCTCCACAAGTCCAAAAGCACAGAATAAAACTTCTAAATCTGTAAACTCCAACACACCTTATGTCTTTGTCAACTGACTTCCTCACCTATTTGTTATAGTCACAAAAAGCTAACATAACACAAAGCCTGTGCATATTTTAAGGTTACTTGAAAAAAATTCCAGAGTTCCCAATAAAAAAAAAGTTGATCCAATTTACACTCCACAAAGGAGTTGATGAACGTGTCTTTTTCCACATATTCCTGCCTCCCTTAAATTTAATTATAAATGTTGAGCTAGGAATTCAAGTGCAAGGGGTTATCGGAGTAATGTAGGGACCGAGCAGGGCAGTGGGTTAGGATGGGCTGCTGAAGGAGTGTGTCACTAAGCCAGCTATCACAGAGGGCAGCTGGAGCTTAATCTCCCAGAGAAACTCAGGCAAATGGTGCACAAGACCTCAAACTATCCCACCTACAGGGAAAATGCTCTTATGTCCACCCAAGAACCATGAAGTGAGGGATACTTGAGGGGAGGTAGCAGAGGGATTTCTGTAGTTACAAAACAAAAATAAGAAAATCTTCATCAGACTGAGCAGTTAGAAGTTCACTGGAGTGTGCTGAAACGTTCAGGAACATGTTCCAGCAGGGACAGCATCTGTTACACTTTGTCCTCAGTAGGCAAAACAAGCCAAGCTTTTGTACAGTGAAGAACTAGCCTCTGGCTTTGACCTTGATTACTGGAGGCGATGATCCCTCCTGAGTGCTCTCTGCCTGTTAACTGTCTTTGCTTCCCTGGGAACTTTGGCCACCAGACAGCAGAATGATGTGATTTACTAGGGGCTTTGAAGCAACACTTGGCTGTCACCCACTGTGACCAGGAAGTCAGGCAACAGGGGACTGAGCAAAGAGGAAAAGGTGAAACGTACACGAGGGTTCCTCCCTGGTGCTGCCTTTGGGTCTCTTTCCTCTGCTGGCTCTAATCTCTTTCCTTTCACGATGTTTAAACATTATAACTATGGGCTGAGGAGCTTGCCAGACAAGGTTGTAAGTTCAATTCCTTGCACCAAAGACAAAAAAAAATATATTATAACCATAGGTATGGTGAGTTTTGAGTTATTCTCAAATAAATTATTCAACCTGAGAATGGTCACCGATGAGCTCCCTAGGCTTTTTCTTTCCTAAGGAACTTAACTTTGTAGGGTTTTTAGGGCAAGTAGAAGGCAGGTAAATAGTTAAGTTATTTGCCTATTAAATAAATTTGTGATAGTTTTCAGTTATTGTCTAGTCAGTTCTATTAATCTTTTTCCTGATATCTTTTGTTTACTTTTTTTATTTTAAAGAGAATAAAACCTAGCAAAACAAAACTGAACAAAGCCAACAAAACAATGCAGTGAAAGTGGTACAGAACTTTGAAGCAGGATAATGGGAAATCAACAATGGCTACCATAAATATATCTTGTTATCTTCACAATAGTTGTCCATTCCACCAGACACAGTAAAATCAAATAAAACAAAATAGAACAAAACCAATCAAAACAGAACATTGAATAAAATAAAAACAATAAATCAAAACAAAGCAATGAGTTCAATACTGGATTTCAAAAACAAGACAAGGAAATCCCCCATATTTGCTATATTGTGTAGTTATCATCCTAGTAGATACTCAGACCACTGGGGCCTTAGGCCTGCAAAGTCAAACAAACAATGGAAGCCTTTAATTGTTTTTATAACTCAGTTGCTCTCAACTCAGCCTGTCCTTCGAACCAGCCAGTTGCTTGGAGGGGGAGCACAGTTCCTGATTCTCAGCTCATGTGCCGACTGACTGGCTCATGGGAAGGGTGATCTAGCTTCTCACCTCCTGGGCCCCCTGTACGGTTTGCAAGGATTACCAGAAGGCAGAACTGGCTTCTTGGCGGGGTCTCTGCAGACCCAGCATGGCTTCTGCTCCCTTTTGTTTACTTTAAAAGGTTTCCTTGCTACAAAATCATGTAAGCATTCACCTTTGTTTTCTAATGTTTTATAGTATCATTTTCCCTAGCTAATTTTTATGGAATTTGTTATCGCTAGTGGGTTAAAAAAAAAAAAATATTCTTTTCCTCAGTTGACCCAGCATAATCTTTTTTTTTTTCAAAACTCATTTTATTTCACAGAGAAAAAAAGATTTCAAAACACAGCTATCAGGGGACAACTATGATACACACATTTTGTATTGCCATTTCCAAATCATTCACCCAGAGCTCAAGACATCTGCATTCAATCATGCAAATCCTTCTCTTCAGTGAACTCAGACAAATCAGTAGTATAATTATCTTAACTGTATTTTTATATATGTGTAAGTGTACATATACAAATACCTCGTTTCAGCTTCTGATACTAGTGAGACAATATGATGTTTAAACATGTATGTCTGCTTTATTTCACTTAGAGCCAGCGTAATCTTTTAAATAATTATTTTTCCTTCATTTTTATCACATGCTACATTCCCATGCATACTGGGGTTTTATGTGGTCACTGCATTCTATTCGTCTGTATTATAGATTTGATTTTATATCACCCTTATCTTATCTTTTATATCACCCTTAGTTTCTGTGGGTGGCTTTATAATATACATTAATATTACACTGTATCCATCTTTCCAACTTACTCTTCCCCCTTAAATATTTTTTGCTCCTTTGCCTATTTAATCTTCCATCATAAAACTCTCTGCACCCCAAAATATGCTTCTCAGAAATGGAAGATAAAATCACTTTATCAATTTCCATTGCCCTCCCTTAATAAAATGCTACTAGATTTTTTTGAAATTTTATTACATAAAAATTAATTTGAGGAAGATTGATATATTTACAAAACTGAACCTTTTCATGAAGGAACTTGGTTTACTTCACAGTGAATAACAATAAAGATAATAATATGAAAAAAAAATTTAAGTTCACATTCTTCATATAAGTCCAGCACATTTCTTATTAACCTCAATGAAATAAGCATTACTATGGCCTTTAGTGAACAAATCCAAATTATCTCCAGAAATTTTTTACTTCTACCACCATCATATAAGACTTCCAAATCGAGCACATAACAAACATCTCCATAGATTTAGTGTGTACTCATTTGACTTTTTTGAGATGCTGAATAATCCATCATACATTTATCAGTTAGTTGTATTTTTGTCTTTGTAGACTTTTATCTTTTGCCTATTTTCTATTCTATATAATTATTTAGGTGATCTTCTAATTCAAATACCACATAATGTTTCTGTATATTTTCTTCTATTCATTTACATGTTCATTTGCTTTATAGTTCATGTTTAAAATTCTTTCCTTCTTTTTTTAACATGGGGCTGGGGCTCAGGGGCTTCACATGTGCTGAGCATATGCTCACATGTAAACTTTAACTCCCTAAGCCACATGGAATGTATGTCACTTAAGTGCGGGCTGAGTTTTTTAAAGTTGTTTGCTTTGTCTGTCTACTGAACCATGGCGTCTTTTGGGAGCTTACTTTATGCCATAACCTTTTAGTTTACTTTGTAACTTTTTTTATTTGTGCATATTTGCAATACGAAAAGTTTACATTCCTTGTGGAGAATTGATATCTGTACACAACACATCTTAAATCTTTTTTCCTCCTCCCCCCCCATCCATCTCTGAATTCTTCTTTTTTTGTGTGAGAGGGGGACATGTTTGCAATACCTAGTAATGTTTGAGGACAGAACTCCTTGCACGTACTTTTTGGCTCAGTAATAAAATGTTCTCATTAAAAGGGAATTCAAGCAGTGATAGCCAAAGACTTAGTAGACACAGCTTAGGTCCAGACTGTTCTCTGAAAGACCACGTGTTATAGGTTTGCTCCCTGGTTTGGCACAGTGGGAAGTAGTAGAAACTTTGAGAGGCAGAGCCTAGTTCAAGGTTTTAGGACACTAGCAACATACCATCAACTGGGACTGTGGACAGTGGCTTCTTTTCCTTGCATCCGAGCCATGAGGTGAGGGTTCTTTCTCCTTCACATATTCCTGCTATGGTGTGCTGTCTCACCTCAGGCCAAAGCAGCAGGGCCTTTCGGTCATGGACTGAAACTACAAGCCAAAACACATTTTTTCTCTTTGTAAGTTGCTTTATCGCAGTAGTTGGTAAAATAATAGAAAGTTGACTAACTCACTAGTGTATCTAACAAGATACATTTTCTTTTCAAGAATGATGGATACTTCAGCCAGTTGATGTTAGTTTTCTGAAAGGCTGTGAAGAGTTAAGCAGGTTATTTCACAAACCACAATCTAAAAATGAGTTGCTAAAATTTACTTGTGGGCCGGGGATTTAGCTCAGCAGCACAAGCAACCTTTGGCAAGCACAGGTACCCCTGGTACCCCGCCCCCCCGCCAAGAAAAGATACTAGTTAAAATTCACTTGGAAGTATCAATCATGCAAGGGTATAAATTTTGAATTTATAGCCACAAGTTCAACATATTTGGCAGATATGATCCAAGATTCTAGAAACATACTATCTACACAGCAATGTCAAGGAACAAGAAAACTATCTCTCAGAATCAGATATGGTTTCATAAAAAGAGCACCCAATTTGATGTCTGAAAACCTGGACTGGAGTCCTTGCACCATCTCTAAGTTTGACTTTGACTAAATCGCTTTAACGAGTCTCACTTTTCTCTGTTATGAAATGAGTGACCTGATGGGACTGTTAGAAGAGCTAAATGAGAAAATCTATTTGAAGGCATTGTGTAAACCGTAAAGCCCTGTTCAGTCACCGGTAGTGATTAATTTGGTTGATCTAAGTTTTAATATTCTACCCCTCTTGCTGTGGAGGAAATGCTGGCCCCTGCTGTCCTTGGCTGGGGAAGCACTGACTGAATCCCACTGCCTCCTCTACAGCTCCGTCCTGCTTCTGAGCCAACCTGCTTCCAGCCTGCCACGTTCCCAGGCCCTGAGTGCACTAGCTTTAGTGCAGGGCCTTCATGAAATCAGACCTGCCTCTAAGGAGGAAACAGGAATGGCATTTACTGAGCATCTACTGTACACCACACATTGAAAGGTTATGCTAGCACAATAGAGATGTATGGTAAGGACCATCCTTATCACTTCTTGTCATTATCTTCTGCTTGGACCAGGCTCATGAGATCAGTGATAGAACAACATTTAGTACAGGGTAGTATGTGTTCAAAATGCTAACTGCATTTCCACTCTTGGACACTGTTAGGAGTGGCTAGGAGAGGGAGAGAGTATTACATGAAAATTAGGTAGGGATCTACAGAATACTTGTACAGTGATTAAAAGTTTTCATTGCTTCAAACATCTACTTTATCACAGTATTTGGTATTACAGTATATGCGATTGGTAAGACTTTAGCATTCTTTACATGAAAAAAGTTTATTCCATCTCTTTTTGTTCACTTTTAGGTCTTTCTTTCTTCTCTCCTTTCTTTTTATCAGATTGCACCTTTCTGACTTTTAGAAGTCCCAACATCTCCACAGGTCTCTTTTTAATTGATGCATAACAATCCTAATATTTCAGGGCACAACGTGATGATACTACACATGTATACAATGTGTAATGATCAACTCCAAGAAACCAGTACTCCCATCTCCTCAAACATTTAGCATTTCTCTGAGCTTGAGTCTGTAAACTGTAGTCACTCTTCCCTTTAGGGAATGTGATACATTATACATATTGAATGCTGCCTTCCTCCCCCGTATATGAAACCAGGAGAGCAGACGGTACTGTTGGGGTGATGGAGGGAAATGATTAAAGTGTGTTATGTGCATGTAGAAATCTGCCAAATCCCCACTGTCAGTGTAACCAATATGCACTAACAAAAAAAGTGAGAGAAGAAAAAGAAACAGCAAGGAGGGTAGGGAGGGGAAAGGGGAGAAAGGAATGAAGAAGAGGAAAAGGGAGAGAAGTAAAAGAAGCCAGGAAGGAAGCCCTGCAGAAGGCCAGTGGAAGCAAAAGGTGGAATTGAATGACAGTGAGGAGCTTGCTGGGCTCAGCTGGTACATGCGGTGGGTGGAATCCAACTGCTTTGGTGGGAGAGGAGGCTACCCTTGCTCTGTCCAGCACCCTAAAGTGTTAGCAGCAATAATATTTTGAGAAAAAGCTTTTGTTTTTATTTTCATCTTTATTTTCTACTTTTGCCAATTTTGGGGAGGCATTTTGAACATTTTACATTTCGACAAAATTACTTGGACCTGAAGATTTAGTAATGTTATCAGATTAGTAATTAAGTAATTTATGCTGGACTATAGCGTATAGCTGGGAGTAATGGTGCATGCCTGTAATCCCAGCACTGGGGAGGCTGAGGCAGGAGGATCACTGTGAGTTCAAGTTCAGTCTGGCCTACAAAGTGAGTTCAAAGTGAGCCTGAACTGCATAATGAAACCTTGTCTCAAAAAGACAAAAAGAAAAAGAAAAGAAAGGAAGAGAGAAATATAGCTTGCATTTAAAAGCTGACACATTAAAGAGAAATTTAGAATACCACATTTCACAGTGTCCGTAGAATGTATTTGAAGACACTGTTTATTTAAAAGTAAATCTGGTATTAGTTCTATTCTGAACTTGGTATGAGGAGTATGCAAAGCAAACAAATAAAATGACACCAGATACTTTAACTGGGGGGCTTACTAGTCTAGCATTTATTTATCTTCTTTTTTAAAAAGCCACATCTTGGTTCTTACTTGAATAAGAAGGGAAGAAGTCCCAAGAGTCTACCAGGATGAAAATGATGTTTTCTTTTAAGCTTCTGCTTTCAGACAACTCTGTCTCCAAAGTCTGGAAGAACAGTGTCATCTTCAAGCAAGGCGGAAGAAAGAACAAGCCGAGCTGTTTCTCACCCAGGAGGGTAGATTTCCCGTATTGTTGGCCAACCGTGCATTTGGTGGCATCAGGTGGGCAGAACTGTGCCATAGGCAAAGCCGGTGCATCATCCAGCAGCTTTGTGCCTGACTGACCTAGGCTGGGTCCCAGGTATCCCCAGTGAACTCGCCTCCAGCAATACCTGGTGGTACTTAACTTTGGATCATTCCTCATTGGAGGCTCTCGTTTTCTTTTGTTGTTGCTTTCTCCTGACTTCTGTGAAGGGCGGCAGGATTGTGACTAGCGGCTGCCACTCAGGGCATTTCCACCCTCTGAGGGGAAGGCAGAGGAGTCACCAAGAGAGAGGCCAGCAGTGCCCGTTAGCACCTGCTGCAGCAGTGCGAAGTTGGCTGCTACCCCAGTGTCGAAAGGAAGGCGGCTGTGATCAGCCATGGCAGAGTCTAATTTTGGAATGTCACAGGATTCAGGAGACAAAAAGCATTGCGTACTGCTGAGTCACTGAGAACTGAATGTTGTAGGTTGGGGAGGACAGAAGCAACAAGAATATGTGAGACAGATCACCGAGTAGATGGATGAGGAGAGTCGTGCTGCCTCTAACAGCATCAGACATTCGTGTGTGCATCATGTCACTGATTAGGAAATGAGTTGTTTGTTCTGCAGTGTCTTCACCAGTGAAAGGCAAGGGGATGAACTTGGCTGGCACACAACGAACTAGGCGTCTTCCTCCCGGCAGAGTGCAGAGCTGGGATTCACCCAGCTCTCCTCCACCTCTGCCTCTAGCCAGGCCTCTCAACTCCTGTGAGTGGCATGGGGCAGTGTCATCTTGTTTCTGGCAATTGTTTAACTCTATTAGGTCAGTTACTCTGTGTGTGTGTGTGTGTGTGTGTGTGTGTGTGTGTGTGTGTGTGTGTTTGTATCAGGAACTGAACTCACGACCTCATGCTTGCCAGGCAAGCACTGTGCTGCTGAGCTATATCCTTGGTCCAGGGATTCTGTTTTATATTCGTGTGACCTGCACCCCTCCCTCCACGTATTTGTCCTGTAGTAAGTATGTGAAAACACAGGCTAAATGGAAATGGAGTGCAAAGAGCTGGGGTTACAGATGTGTACCACCACACCTGCCAGAGCTCTGAATCTGGAGACAGATGTCTTGGACTTTGATTCGCGTTGTCCTTGTTATCCACAAGAATTTGGGTAACACACTGACCAGGCTTTCTTGTCTCTGCCCAAGAAAATAGTGACTTCTGCTCTGCCTACTTTACTGTTAATGTAAAGATTTGTAAAAATATAAACATGAGCAGAAACTACAATGAAAATGTAGCATACACATCCTGTAGGTCTGCATCAACTTGTCACCAGCACAGCGAAAACTTACTGTATTTTATCTGGATCTGGACCTGAGGGAGAGAGAAAGCCCAGGCTGTGTGACTGGTCCCAAGCCTGATCCTGCTCCTGCCTGTCATCACCCTGTCTGTTGATGACCCACATGCAACATCTTGATTTTCCCCACAGAAAGCTTTTATTAAAGACATCTAGAGCTCTCTCTACCTTGTAGACGTGATACAACATTGATCTCTAGAGTCTACTTTCTTGCTTATTTATTTATTTATTTCAACGATTATGTTAGATGCTAGGGGCTTGGAGATAATTTTTTTAAAGTTTTACAATTCAGTGAGAAAGACAAAAAACAAGTAGACAGATAAAGACATTACTATAAGTTGTGATATGTCCATCGCCAGATGAATAAATAGATAAGATGTGGGATACATATACAATAGAGTACTACTCAGCCATAAAGAAAGATAAATTTTAGGCATTTGGAGAGAAATGGATGCATCTTAAAACCGTAATGCTAAATGAAATCAGACATAGAAGGTTAAATATTGCATGGTCTCTCACATACGAATATAAAAACTCAAAAGAACAAAAAAAAAAAAGACAGCTGGTTGCAAATAGAGAGTTGGATCTCTTGGAGATGGAAGGTGATCTAGGGAAAGAGAAAGAGTAAAGAGAGGGGAAGGAAGAATATAAGGGTTAAGCTGTGGTATGTACCAACCCTCAACCATAAATACATTCACTATGCATTGCAAACATGTAATAAAACAAACAGGAAAATGTGATAAATGCTAGGAAGGAAACATATCAGGTGACATGATAAGGTTGGCAAGAGACATACTTGGAGTGATTAGAGTCTTCTATTAGCAGGAACTCGAAGGAGAAAGTGAGCCAACCATGCAGAATAATAAGAACGTTCTGGGCAGAGAGAACAGGGTGTGGGAGGCCCCAAGGCTAAAGGAGACTGAAAGGTGGGAGGTGAGGCTGGCATCTAGAGAAGAGAAGAGAAAGCCCAGGTGAGGGAGGCAGGAGGAGTGAACTGAGACCAGGGCAAGGATTACTGAAAACTGTGATGTGTGTAGTTTTAAAATCATACTACTATTGGAGCCCACAATGTCTTCTTTTTTTTTCTTTTTAAAGAGGGTAAAATTAAACATAACAAAGCAGAACAAAACAGATCATAAGATAACAATGTAAGAGACACAGATTCCAAAGCAAGATAACCAGAGATCAGACACATTGGAGTTGGGCAGGACAGGCCTGAACCTGGATCCCATTGGCGTCAGTCGGCTGCTTCTGGCTCAAAGAGTTGGATCTGCTTGGGTCAGGACCCAATAGCCCGGGACAAAACTGTCCTGAACCTGTGACATCCGCACGGCACAGACTAACGTGCTAAAGACACTCGCAGGTTGACTGGCTCAGCGGAGAGGGGCCAGCCCACAATGTCCCTGCATGGAGCTCACAGATCAACAGTATACCGGACAGGGCAGCAGTGCCCTAGCCAGCATGCTTCAGAAAAATTATAAACAATAGGGAAAGGGCCTGAGACCTCCACCATACAACTGTCTGGAAGAAACCAGAAACATGACAAGAGAAAGAAACAAGAAAAAGCCTCCAGCCACTGACCCAGGGAAAATAAGTCCAGGAGAGCTGAATACAGACCAGATTGAGGGCAGCAAATATGTAACATCAGACACAGCATCAGTGGACATAAAGAAATACTTTCATGACCTCATATACGAACTTAAAACTGAAATTCTAATTCAAGTGAAGCAAGATACAAAAAGATTAATAAAACAAGTGCTAAGCACCTCTCAAGAAAACACAGATGGAAGAATGGAGGAACCCAGAAAAAAGAGAGAAACCTTTGATAAAGAATATAAACAAAATCTAGAATATATGAAACAGATTCAAAGAGATTACCAGGAAATTAAAAACTCTACTGAAAGCTGGCAAAATTCCTGGACAGAAACTAAAGTTAGACTTTCAAAACTTGAAGATAGATTTGTAATGCATGATTGTAAAAGGAAAGATCTCTTAAAAATAACAAGCAACCAGGAAGTAATAATGCAAAGGCTAGAAGACAACAAGAGGATGTATAACTTAAGATAAAAAATGTGAACGAAGAAGCAGGAGTAAACACAAATGAAATACAAAGGCTATTCACAGAAATAATTAAGGAAAACTTCTCAAGCATAGAAAAAGAAAATGATATTCAGATATATGAGGCATACAGAACTCCAGCCAGCTACAACCAAAACAGATCTACACCCAGTCATATAATAATCAAGATCCCAGAAATTCATCACAAGAACAGAATATTAAAACTGTCAGAGAAAAGAAACATCGCCTATAAAGGAAAACCCATCAAAATCGTGACAGACTTCTTGACACAAACTATCAAACCAAGAAGAACTTGGAGCAAAGTATTCCAAGTCCTGAAAGAAAATAACTCCAATCCAGATTGACGTACCCTGCAAAACTGTCTCTCAAAATTAATGGAGAAACAAGATGCTTCCATGACTAAGAGGAGCTGGGGGAATTCGTGATCACCATTCCAACCCTACAAGAAATACTGAAGGACATTCTAGAGAGAGAGAAAAAATACCAGGATTCTAGCAACAGTAGCAGAGAGGCCTCCATGAACAGGGAAGACAGTGGAATGAACATCACCCTTTCCACGGGACCCAATCCCTAGCACTCACCATGGGTTAGTGCAGCTCTCCCTGTTGGTTTTGCTCTCCATGGCACCACATCCTCCCACCAAGGGCCCAGGCTCACCAACCCCGGATTTCAGCGGCCACGACTTCAGTGTGACCATGAGTCGTCCAACTCCAAGGTGCACCCAGCAAAGTGCAGGATCAGCTCCAGTGAGTGCAAGTCTGGTTCCAGCCTTTCGTCCATGTTTTTCCTTTCTTTTTTTTTCTTTTCCTTTTCTTTTTTTTTTTCCCTCGGTTTCTTCCTGGGTCGTGAGAATCCTTTTGTCTGGTCTTCTCCATGGTGTTAAGTTCTAGCATCTGAGTTGTTTTTCTCAGAGAGGCTCTCTACCCTGCTACCTATCAATCTGCCATCTTCCCAGAATCCCCCTCATTCCATATCATGATCTCTAGATTCACCCATTTTTCTATAAATGATAAAATTTCATTCTTTTTTATGACTGAATAATATATATAGCATTTATCTATCTATTCATCCATTGATGAGCATCAAGGCTGGTTTCACATCTTGGCTATTGTATATTGTGCTACAACAAAAATGGGTATGCAGGTATCACTATAGTGACTTTAATTCTTTTATATATATATATATATATATATATATATATATATATAACAAGGTGTGGTATGGCTGGATCAAATGATAGCTCCATTTTCAATTTTATGAGGGGCTTCTATACTGATTGTATCATTGGTATTGTAGCACTGATGCTTTGATGGGAATTTCAATGGATTTGTATATCGCTTTTGGTAGTGGGATCATTTTAACATTAATTCTGCCTGTCCATGGCATGGGTAGTCTTTCCATCCTTTAATGTCTTCAGTTTCACTCTTCAGTACTCTGCAGTTTGTATCATGGAGGTCTTTCACCTCTGTGGCTAGGTTTTTAAAGTACTATGAATAGAATTGTCCTCCTCATTTATTTCTCAGCTAGTTCATTATTGGTGTACAGAAAAGCTATTTTGATTTTTTATCCTACTACTTTTCTGAGAGTATTAGCTCTAAAAGTCTTTTAGTGGATCTTTCTAAATATAGGGCATTTCATCTGTAAACAAGGATAATTTAACTTATTCCTTTCTTATTTGTATCCCTTTTATTTACTTTCTCTTGCACCTTTGTCTCATCTCAGTAATTTCCACCTTGCTCATGATGATTTAATCATTGTTCCCCAGCACAAATCATCTTTGCTTCCTTTGATCAGGTTGTCCTTTCCTACTGCAATGGCCTTTCCATTGCCTCCTTTCCAAATCCAACCCACATTTGAGAGACTCACTCAGATCCCTTTTCTTCTTTGAGGTCTTTTCTGACACTTCATACTTCAGGGTCAGGTTTAAATTTCACTGCAAGCTTCTTAACCTGCATTCTGTGTATGTGTATCCAGGACATACTTTCTTCCCAAACAGATTTCTTAACAGAGTGTGTTAGTTGTCTTTCTCTAATAAAGTAGCTAAGACAACTTATAAACAGAAAGGTTTATTTTGGCTCACAGTTCTGGAGATTCCAATGTATTATCAGTCAGCCTTCTTGCTTTTGGACTTCTGACAAAGGAGCACATCATGGCAGGTAGTGTGCAAAGAAGCAAAAACACTCACCACCTATGGCTAGGAGAAAAAGAAAAAAAGTAGGAAATGGAGATCCACTATCCCCTTTGTAGGCACACTCCCAGTGACCTAAAGTTCTCCCACAAGGCCGCAGCTGTTAAAACTCCACTTCTGTCTAATAACACCACTCTTGGAACCAGAGTGGAGGGTTGTTTAAAATCCAGCTACAGCACTGGGCTTCTGCTTCTGTTATCTGTTTATCAGCACAGGCTCTACTTCATCTCTCATGACACTGAACAACTAGTAAGAGCTCAGTAAATACCTGAATGAATAGGCATATAACATATAGTATCTTCTCTGAGAAGGGCAATCGTTGAGTTGTTTTCCCGTCTTTATCCCTAAAGCTATTCCACTGATTCATCAGTAAAATGAATGATTATACTCGGGGATGATTTTCAGGCAATATTTACCTCCACATTCCTACCAGATGGTAAATACCTTGGCCCCCCTATTCAACGTCTCCATTCCTTCATCCTAACCATTCAGCCCCTTCTCCTTTGTATTCCCCACGTCTCTCTCCAATCCAGAAACCAAGAGTGTTTTAAATATACCTGAGGTTTTGTTTTCACTCCATTATAGTAATGCCAACAATCGAGAGATGAGTACCATTGGAAAGATAGTTACTACTCATGGTTCCCAAGACAATAAGTTCCCAAAGAGGTTTGTCATGCAATGCAAGTTTAGATGGGGACACACCCAGGTGAGTCAGGGAGCAGAAGCTCTAAGGAAAAGCCTGTGCTAAAGTGTTTGTTGGGCTTTTGCAGCAAGGAACAGGTGAGACAGGGATAGCAGATTTGGGCGTAGATAGTTTGAATAATTTCATAAGATGGTGGGCTACAGGAATTGTTATAACCTCCTTTAGTGCCGCTATCCTGTTCTGTAAGCGTCGTTACCCTCACCTATGTTTCAACTCTCATTACTTGTAAATTATCCCTTTCCAGAACAGCAATTTAGTCCCGTAACCCACTGACCCTGGATTGTAAAACATTTGCTGACCACTGATTGTAAAACACTTGGTCCCAGGACCAACTGGCCCTGGTTGTAAAACATTTTTGCAGAAATTAACTCCCTCTTTGTATAAGCTTCCTCCCTTTTTCTCCTCTGCTTCACTGTCTTGACCCTTTAAAAACCCCCAGTAATCTAACCTGGAGGCACAGCTCTGCAGATTCCAGCGGCAGGGTGTGTCGCTGGTACCAGCTAAAATAAAGCGCTTTTTAAGACGGCTTGCCTTTGTTTGGGGGCCTTTTTGGGTACAACAAGAATGCTCCTTAGTTATCCATTGTCGTCCTGGGGTAATTTGGGGCAGAGGGATAGTTTCCTAAATTCTAGGATTCTTATGAAAGAAGGTATGTGGAAATATACCTTGGTGTTGCTTGATTCAGATGTCAAAGATATGCCTGTAGACAAGCCATTCTTTATCTCCAAGAATTAGGTAACCCCAAGGCAGATTCTCCCAGGTCTTCAAGGTCCCAAGGTATCAAAGCATTATATAATACAGAAGAAAAAGATAATTAATGCAAAGAAGTTAGTGCCGAGCATGATAAGGTATGTCTCCCACAGATTTGTTCCAACATTTGTTATGCTCTGAGCCAGAATACATAGAAAGGCTCTCTCATAAAAGTGGAAATGCTACAAAATTACAAATCAAGCCCACATTTAAATAAAATACATTCAATCTTCCTTCCTCAACAATTTATATCATTTATACTCTTGAAAATCCCTATCTAGGATCCTAATTGTAGTCATGGGAATCTCTGATTCACTTCCACAGTATAAAAAGTCCAACCTAAATTGCTATTTTACTTATGATATGATGGTAGGAATTAATAAAATATGAAGTTTCTTTGCTTTGCATTGGAACTCAAGTTAATTTGATAACACTACATACATGCATACCAAGTAGTAAGTTTGCTTGACAGTTATGCCATTAATTAACATATCTATATTGAAAAACTATGTTAGTGTAACTGATAAACAAAACAAAAGAGCTGGTATTTTCAAAGAAAAGTAAATTAGACAAACTTTTGGTGAATATCACACTACCATCCCCCAAAAGAAGAAAGAAACATATATAACATCATGTGTAGAAAGAGTAAAACCACAATGTGGTAAAAACTTTAAAGCATTTAAGATGGAAACAAAATGTAAAATTACACTGAATTTTAAACTTTAAATTAAAAAATAATTTAGGAAAGCTATCAAAATTAAACAAGTTAGAAAAGAAATCTATAACCATAAGAAAATTGAAAAGTTGTCCCAAAACTTTCATATCTAAAGGTCTCTAATACCTTATAAAAACAGGTACAGTAACTCCAAGTACTTAAAGTGTTTTGCACACTTAAAAAAAGACACAGTTCATGAATTTTGCAATGTGAGCTTAATGCTAATGTAAAAATTTGAAACAAGTAAACCATTAACTTCTCTCAGTTACAAATACAGCTATAAAAATATCAGTAAGCCAAGGCTAATAGTGTATTTCAAAGTCAAATATACCATGAAAAGTGTTATTTCTTTTTTAAGTTGAAAGTTTAGTTCAATCTATGGAAATTTACTAATATATTTTAGTTCCTTAACAGATTAACAAAAAAAAATCATATGATTAATTCAACAGATGCTTAAAATTTATTTTATAAATGTAATATCCATTCTCAATAAAAGTATGTGATAAGCTAAGATTAGAAGAAATGGTCCATAACATAATAAATATAAACTATTACATGATCAAATTAATGGCATCCTAATTAAAGTTGTGAAAAGGTAAAAATAAAAAATTATTACCTGCTGACATTATTATTTCACAATCAAAAAACTCTAAAGAATAAACCAAAAACAAGTCAACTAAAAAAGATTTAGTATGGTAGCCATCTGTGAAAACACAGCATACAAATTAATGGGTTTCCTGTAACAGAAATAACCAGTTTTTAAAAAACAGAAACAAATAATTTTCATAAGAGCAACTAAAAGAGCAGAATAACTTTGAGTAAATGTATAAGAAATATGAAATGCCTATATAAATAATATCATTTTATAGATTACAATTTTCAAATTGGTAGCATGGCTTACCAAGTCTCCTACAATTGTGGATTTATCTAGTTCTCCATAGATTCTGGATGTATTTGTGTTTTCAAGTTTTTACTTTAAAATGGAATTGAAATTATGGGAAATTTGTAAGTTTTCAAACATTAAAGACAAAAAGAATTTTCCAATTAACTAGTCATTCAAAAAGGAACACTTCATAGTCTAAGTGAAATTTTAAAATTTAAGTTGTTTCCTAGAAAACTTGAAATCAGGCAAAATTAATGGGCCATAATGGAGATAAATTAGAAATTAATAAAAATAGGGGGCTGGAGATTTAGCTCAGCGGCATAAGCACCTGCCTTGCAAGCAGGTGGTCATGAGTTCAATCCCCGGTACCAATAAAAAAAAGAAAGAAAGAAATTAATAAAAACAGATGTGCAGTCAATCTCCAAATATTTGGAAATCAACAAATTTCTCATTACTCATGGATCTCATTACTCATGGGTTTCAAATTACTCATGGGTCAAAAGGAAATCTATAAAGGAAACTAGAAAAAAATAAATGGAAATGAAAATACAGCATTACCAAAATTTGTGGTATAAGTACTTAAAGCAGTGATCTAGGGAAATCCATTGGATTAAATGCTTATCTTGGGGAAAAAAATGTCAAATCAGTAATTGAAGTTTGTACCTTAGAAAGCAAAACTAAACAAAGCAAAACAAAAGAAGGAAAGAGAGAGAAAAAGAAAGAAAGAAAGAAAGAAAGAAAGAAAGAAAGAAAGAAAGAAAGAAAGAAAGAAAGAAAGAAAGAAAGAGGATATAAAGAGTTCAGCAAGACACCCAGTATCATAACCAGACATTCAACCTACAGCACAGGATAAAAAATTTGTTGGCTTTATTCTGTGGGCAGATTTCTGTACAAACAAAACTCTCCATTAAAATAATACCCTTGTTCTCTTAGTCTTTTCTTACCTATGCCTACTTTTTTTCATTTGGCAAAATAGTGACGTAATCAGAACTTCACGATTAGTAGCTTGTGGAGGTAACTTGCAAATTGTCGCTTCCTGCTTTAATCTAACCAAGTCTTGGAATGCTAGGTGGTATCATTGCTACTACTATCTAAACACAGAGAAATCTGTGCTGGTACTTGTTGTGCATGGATGAACACATAGGGTATACTAGCCACTCCATTGCAAGCAATGTGCAAACAATGCTTGGCTCATATAAAATGAGGAGCCTCCTTTCTTGCTCATTATTTGATCTGTTCAATTGTAGTTGGTTTAATTTATGGGAACCCTGGCTAAAAAGTGTTTTCTGAACTCCTGATATTATCCTCCCAACAGTCACAACAGTAGACTTCTTGGTGCCTTGTATTTTCTCAAAGTTTCTGGATATTTGCAAGGAGCTATCATCAAACGGTCTCCGACTAGACTGTGAGAACCTGCTCAGAAAGGGAAAATTGTCAGACAAAACTATGAGAAATCGTATTTTGGACTGAACTTTTGCCCACAGACTAAAACAAAACCAAAATGAAGTCACTTATGGCAAAAGTAATACAATCAAACTAAAACTTTAATGAAGATGCTATACTCCAAAACAGATGAGTTCTTTTCCTGAAGTGAGGGGTTTGAGTCTACCTGAGGAAGTGTAATAAAGAAGTTCCTTCTGATTTAACCTCTGTAAAAAGAAACCAAAAGTAACCTGATGTTAAACAGTGGTTTTTTTCCTATTATTGCATTTCTTTGTTCCACCCTACAAAATCCACTGTTCCGCTCTTTCCCAGTGTGAACTGAGACTGAAGAATTCCATAGATGATACTGACCGACCGTATTTTTAAATTGCAAGGTTAACCAAATGGCAAGGAGGAGGACTGCTACATTTATTCTAAAGCTTTTCCATGCATATTTTATGTTTGACCTAAAGGGAGCTACGCTTGAATACAGGGAACTTTACCTAATTTGATGTGTAAAAAGACTGAAACCTACTCATGTAACAGGTAGCTGAGCCTCAGCCACCCACAAGCGTGACTCATCAAACCATGTTCAAATGGGGCAGAGGTACACTATCATCAATCAGTTTGTCTCTATCTCACTTCTATTTTCTATATGTCTATATGTTTCTCAGACTATAAATATATCCTGCTCATTTGGTGGGGTGAATCTTTCAGAACCAGTTTTGATCCAGACAGCTGCTTGATTCTAGTTATCATTAAAGCCAATTAAGTGCTACAGGAGAAGGAAAAGAAAAGGAAGGGGAGGAAGAGAAAAGGAGAAGGAAGAGCAAAATAAGCCCAAAGCAGGAGAAAAGGAATGACTGACAACAAAAGTAACTGATATTGATAATAGAAAAGAGAAAAAAAGCCAAAAGCTGATTCTTTGAAGTTTTCATTACAATCGATACTGAGGGTGACCAAAAAAAAATGAGACAAAAATTTCCAACATAAAGGATGAAAGAAAGATTATCATTACTGGTCTCATGAACATTAAAATGATAACAAGGGAATACTATGAAAAGTCTAAATGTTTATAAATTTGACAACATGGCTCATGCCTGTAATCTCAGCACTCGGGAGGCTGAGGCAGGAGGATCGTTGCGAGTTCGAGACCAGCCTGGACACAAAGTGAGCTCAAGGCCAGCCTGAACTGCACAGCGAGACCCTGTCTCAAAAAGACAAAAATAAAATAAAATAAAATAAAATAAAATAAATTTGACAACATAGATGAAGTAAATCAAATTGTTTAAAAAAAACAAACTACCAAGTTTATTCAGGAAGAAGCAGGTAAATAGTAAACAAATCTAATTATTTCATATATACAAACATACAGATATATGAGAAATTAAATTTGTAGTTGAAAGCCTTTCATAATGGATAGTACGGGCCCAGCAAACATTAATGGAAGGAATAACAATTCTACACAATCATTATCAGAACAAGGAGAGAGAGGAATACTTCTTATTTCAGTTTATGAGGTAGGCATTACTCCATAAAACCAATGACATTATAGTTTTTTTTAAAAATCAAGCCAATATTACTCATGAACAGAGATGCAAAAATCTTAAAAATTAGCAAATCAAATTTGTAAAAAGAATTGTGTCATGACAAAGGCAGGTTTATTTTAAGAACAAAAGGCTCATTCAACACTGGAAAAGGAATAGGAGTAACTCACCATATCAACATGAGCATATTCCTGGATACAGGGGAAAAAAGACAGAACAAACCCAGTACCCATTCATGATTTAAAAATGAACACTTCAGCAAAAGAAGTAAAAACATGAAATAAAAAGAAACTTACTTACCCTAATAACAGACGTCTATGAAACACCTACAGCTGACTTCATAGTCAGTGATGAAAACCTAAGTGTTTCCCCTCGCCCCTCGTTCAGTGGTTGCTTCCAGTTATCCAGTTCCCATTAGGACCCAAGACTGAAACACAAAAACAAGCCCCAGCTTGAAAAGGGACATGAAAAGGTCAATATTATTTGCTTGTTCTTTCAGAATATGTCCACCTGACCACCGAAATATCTAGGTTAGCTTCTTATCATCTGTTGCAATCAGTAAATATTTATCAAATAACACAAGGGATCGTATCAGCAGTAAAAAGGAATATCATGTGCTGAGCAGCCTGAGAAAGTACAAAGCCAAAGTCCCCCGGTGTTCAAGAGGCTCTTCTAGATTCATAATGAGCACTTGCCTTCATGGTTTGGAAATTATCTTTAATATATTCCAAACTCTTTCTTTTTTGGTGCAGATGTTTGTGTAATTAAAATTTTCAGACTCCACATGGGCAAGATAGCTGGGCAGAGAAAATTCCCTAAAACTATATCTGTTTCAGAGAGACTAGAGGTTGTATGCAGGCTGAAAAATAGATAGAGCTAGACTTTGAAAGAGCAGACGATTAGCGCTTTAAGTCCAACATTCTGAAATTAACCTCAGTAGGAAATCTAGCATTGCTCATACTGCCCTTATGCCTCCTGTCTTCCCATAAACAAAAACTGCTAGTGTCAAAGATCAGGAGGGCAGCTCGAGTTTGTTGTAGGGTCTGCTTGAAACCTGCATCTTCCTGATTTGAGTTGGCTGAATCTTAGTAGAAAAAAATAATTGTTTTATTATACACTCTAACACTGTAAGAAAACAAGGGATGGAAAAGAAAAATGTTTGGGGAAAGGAGAATGGCAAAGGATGAGAAAACAGAAGAGTTTAGGAAAGAGAGCATTTTATTATAAGCTTGTTGAGGCCTTGTATCAACACTTTGTATACAAAGAGTGAAATGCTTGTTGAATGAAAGGATGAATGAGTTGAGAAAAGCTATACTAATAATTTAACTTTGCAAGTAGCATTAAATATTAAATTAATCAGTCTTTAAATATTTAATAAATCTACCTATATACAAAATGGCAATGCAAATGATATTTCTTCTCAGCTCCCCCAAATGGTATGTGTACTTTCAACTCTTTATCCTCTGTTACAAATGCTTCTCTGTGAAGAGCACCTACCCTACTCCAACTCTCTTTCTGACTAGGATCTTGATCGCACAGATGGGGCCATGTAATCAATGCACACTAGACCTGAAACCATAATTTGGTTTTCAGAATCCCTGGTTTGGCTCTCAATTACTCTGAGATAGAAATGAAAGTTCAGTAGTTACTGACAAGAACTAGCTACATACTTAATAAAGCATGTGAAAATATAAACCAACAATAAAAGATTAAATTCTGAGCTTCCACCAGTCAAAACTACACAAGGGGTTTTGATTGTTAATTGCAAAATAAGTCTACTTGACCAGGGGATTTTTGTAAAGGAGTGCCACTGACTGGATGATTCAGAGAAATCCTCTGTTTGTTTAGCCTTGGTTGTTTAGTCCTCTGTAAAAGGAAAGAATTTAGTTTACAGACACTTGAGCCCAATTGCTAAGCCTTAACACAAACCCACACAACTTGTCCTCAGAACAAGACATTCTATCACCAGCCTAATTCCAGCCATTTGCTAAAACTACTCAGAGCTCAGAAACATGAGGACAAATTTTAGAACTAAAAAGATTGTGTCTCTCAAATGCCCCATGTCTTTTACCCAAAATTTCCATACTACTGAAGTAACATACAGTAAGAAAGCTAGAAGTATGTTTATCTTGCTACCAATAAAGTAAGGAGATAATGCTGACAAGTCCAGAACTGGACAATAATCACCATGAATTCTTTCTTTAAAATACATGCTTCTATTTAAGAATCTTAACATAACCTCTAAATTTTAATTTATGAAACCATAGCTTTGAAAAGGAGCTCTTGAGGATGGGAAGTTGTTTTGGCCCCTCTGTAGATCTCATAGTGACTCATACAATATTGTCTACAAAGAAACTCCTAGATAAGGCCAAGAAATGTACCCTGAGAAAAACCAACACTTGGAAGAGAAAGATGAAACCAAAAGAGTAATCAATGAGAAAGGTGAAAAAACGAGTTTAGTGTTATGAAAGCAGAGAAAGAAATTTTTACAAAACAATAAATGCAAATTCGCCCTTCCTGTGAGCCAGCAGCAGCCATGTGGGGCCAAGAAGAGAAACAAGAAGCCAATTCGCCCTTCCCCTGAGCCAGCTGCCCGCAGACTAGAGGACAAGAAGAGCCCCTCCTCCTCACTTCCCGTAAGCAGCCAGCTGACTTGGAGGATCAGGGGCTGAGTTCATAGCAACTGAGGTACAAAAATAACTTAATTCTTGTATTGTTTGATTGATTATAGGCCTAAAACTGTTAGTCTGAGCATCTACAGAGGATAACAATATGCAATCTAGCATGGAGGATTTCTGTCTTGTTTTTGAAAACCAGTATTGTTCTCACTGTTTTGTTTTGTTCTGTTTTATTGTTTTGTTTTCTTCAATGTTCTGCTTTAATTGGTTTTATTCTGTTCTGTTCTGTTTGATTTTATTAAGTCTGATGGTATCGGCAGCAATTTTGAAACTAACAAGAGGCATTATGGTAACCACATTGATTTCTTATTATCCTGTTTTGAAATCTTGTATCATTTTCATTGTATCATTGTATCATTTTCATTTTCATTTCATTTTCATTTTCATTGTATCATGTTTCTTGTTTTGGAGTTGTTTTGTTTTGTTTTGGTACCAAGAATCAAACTCAGGACTGCACTTGCCAGGCAAGCACATATGCCACTGAGCTATATCCCCAGCTCTTCACTGTTTTTTTTTTTTTTCTTTGATTGGATTTATTCTGCTTTATGTGTTTGGTTTCATTCTTTTGAAAATAAATTTTTAAAAACCAGTCATGGTTTTCCTGTAATCCCAGCACTTAGGAGGCTGAGGCAGGAGAATATTTGCAAGTTTGAGACCAGCCTGGACTACAAAGTGAACCCAAGGCCAACTTGAACTGCATAGAAAGATCCTGTCTCAAAAAGAAAAAAATAAAAGGGGCAGGGATTTAGCTCAGTGGTATAAGTGCCTGCCTGGCAAGTGTGAAGGTTGTGAGTTTGATCCCTGGTACCAAAAAAATAAAATGAAATTTAAAAAGAAAAACAATAAATGAATGAATTAGGTCAGCTGTCAAATGCACTGAAAGGGATGAACTGCTTGCACTGGATTTAAAGAGATGAGTTTCAATGTGTAGAAGAGGAGAAAGAGATGAATGGAGATAAATATGAAAAAGTTATTAAAACTGAGCTTTCCCGTATGGCAGCCACTAGCCACAGGGGACTGCGAAGCACTGAAGTCCAGGACTCTGCCCCTCACCTGCCTTTTCATCCCGTTCACTCTACCCAGCACCAACCAGACTCCCACAGTGACTTCTCACAGTGCTGACTGATGCTGCCCGCTCTGCACTTCATGTACAAGAGATCAAAGAGCGCGTGCTCTCTCCATTTCACTTTTCTGACCTAACACTGTTTACAAAATGTGTCCACACTGTTGTATGTAGCTGCAGAGGCTTCATCCTACTTGCTGTTTAATAGCTCATAGTGCAGCTATACCACATTTCCTTGTAAATGTGAATGGGTGCTTTTAATTTTAATTATGAATATTACTCATGAATAATCTAGTATAATCTTTTAACAAATATACACCCAATTTCTGATCATATACAAGATGTGACCAAAATATACATGATTTAAACATTAACCCTATTTTCTAATCACATTGCATATGTACTACCTACTTTGTGAGTAGAAATTATTGGGACTTTTAGGAGTTTTTCAATATAATCATTGAGAATGTAACATTCACCTCTTATCCTAATGACAGGTATCAGATGGATGCTCAGCCTGTACTGAATGACTGGTTAAAACAGATTATGACCAGCATTGAATGTGCTCAACTGGGCTGTTACGTAAGGTGGAAGACCACCCTTGGATAGCCTGACAACTTGGAAGTTGGTTAGATGTGAGAGCTAAAGAAGATACATCTGTGCCCACAGTACCCTGTTACCTGCCTCTCTCTCCTCCCACCTCTTCTATATAACATAATTTTCAACAGTTACCACAAAATAAGATAATAATAACAGCCAGGGAGCAAAAACCCGAAATTCTTTTTATTGAACATTGTCTATACATAACCAGCCAGTTTTTAAACGTTTAAATAAAAAATAAAATGAATCTTACAGTTTAAGAAAGAAAAAGACACCAACCAGTTAGTCAATACTTTTTATATATACCTAATATTTTTAACATTTTACTTTGTTTAGCAATATTATATTTTTTTTCTTTAGTTGTAAAGCTATAACTAAGCCAGGCATGATGGTACATGTACTTAGGAGGCTGAGGCAGGAGAATCTCTATAAGTTCAAGACCAGCCTGGGCTACATAGTAAGTTTAAGGCCAGCCTGAACTGCAGAGTGAGAACCTGTCTCAAAAAACACACAAAAAAAGTAAAAACATAAAGCTATAACTAACAACTCCTAAGTAAGAATAAGCATTAAAGAGAAACATATATAATAAAATATTTCACATTCAAACTAAAATTTGTACTTACAAATCCCAAAAAAACTATTGTACTATTTTATCATTTTAATTTTTAAAATAATTTGAAAATTTTAAAACTTAGCATAACACACTCAAAGTTCATCTGTACTGTAGCATGTCAGAATTTCCTTCTTTTGTGCTGAATCATGTTTCATCCTGTGTATCCATTATAGTTTGCTAACCCATTCATCCACTGGGCGACAGTAGGTTTGCTGCCACTCCTTAGCAACTGTGAATAATGTGGCAATGATCATCATATCTCATGCAAATATCTCTTCCAGACCCTGCACCCAGATTTTATGAGTCTATATTCAGAAATGGAATTGCTGGATCATATAGTAATTCACATTTTAATTGCTTGATGAACTAGAGTGGCAGTGACATTTTATAGTCCCAGCAATGCACAGGGTTTTGATTTCTCCACAACTTCACCAGCACTTGTCATTTTGACAGTAGCCATTCTAAATAATGTGAGGTGATATCATACTGGGGCTTTAATTCACACTTCCCTGGAGATCACCAATGCTGAGCACTTTTTGTGTGCTTCTTCCATCAGCAGAGAAAGTCCATGTTTTAAATGGACTATGTGCAGCCTTGTTGTTAAACTGCAGTTGTTTTTTTTTGGATATTAATCTCTTGTCAGATACATAATTTACAAGTATTTCTCTCATTCTAATTTCACTGTGTTGACTGTGTCCTTGAGACCTAGAAGCTGTGAAATCTGATATTGTCTCATTTGTCTACTTTTGGTCTTATCTATGCATTGTGAGTCATATCCAAGAAATCATTACCAAATCCTATGTCATAAAGCTTTTCCTCTACACTTTCTCTGAGGAATTTTCATACTTTCCATTTTTTTACATTTAGTTCTTTAATCTATTGCGAGTTGATTTTTACATATAAGGAAGGGTCTAACTTCACTTGCATGTTGGTGACCAGTTGTCACAGCAGCATTGTTGAAAGCACTGTCTTTTTTCCATTCTGTGATCTTAGCACCCTTATCAAAGATCATCTGACCCCGTATGTGATGCTCTACTTATGGGATGTCTCTTCCATGGTCTACAGATCAGTCTTTCTGATAATACATTATTTATAGCTTTGTAATGTTTTTAAATCAGAAAGCATGAAGCCACAAACATTATTCTCCTTTTTCAAGATCATTTTAGATATTCAGGGTCCTTAGTATTCATTACAAATACTAAGATAGATTTTTCTCTTTTTTGAAAAAAAAAGTGCACTTGAGGTTTTTCTGTTTTGTTTTGTGTTACTGGTTTTTTATTTTGTTTTGCTTCTGGCACTAAGGATTGAACCCAGGGCCTTTGCGCTAAGCTACATGTTCCAGTCCCTTATTTTTATATTTTATTTTGAGACAGACTTCCACTAAGTTGCAAAATTGCCTGGGCTGGGCTCACATCTGAGATCCTCCCACCTCAGCTTCCCAGAAGGCTAAAATTACAGGTGTGCACTCCTCACTCTGTTCTCCTTGCTGTCTTAGGACTTGTGCTTATTCTCTTGTGTGACCACCTTTCAACTTCCAACCTGACTATGAGCTGCTGACTGAATCTACTCTCTTAAAGTCCAGTCACCAAGATCAGATCCAAATAGCAAGCACCTGTGCCAGAGCCCCTGCTAGTGCGTTAGGCGCTTTGCACACTGATTGTCTTTGAGTCAGACATGCAGTCCTGTGTGATCACTGATGCCAGGGATACCAGGGCCATGTGGACCTCTGTCCTTAGAAAGGGGCCTCGGCGAGGCAAGCCTTCGGCAGGGCTCCGCTCCAACACACCTTCTCTTCTCCCCCTGCTCTTCCCACATTCCCCAGCTCTTGTAACTTCTTTGCTGTCTGCTTTCTCTCTTTTCTCTTCCTCTTTCCCCTTCCTCTCTTTCCTCTGTGACAGTCTCTGCAGATACAGAGATGTGAAACTTCACAACTTTAAATACACTGTCCACTGTGCAAAAATTATAAATCCTCTCCTCAGTAGCATGGGCCTCTTTGGGTTACCTAAGAGCAGGTAAGAGAACTGGCTCACTTAGCTCACCGTCTTTCAAGCAATTGCAATTTGGCTTTTGGTCTTTAGTTATGCAAGTATTATATCATACTTTTAAGTTGAATCTTTGAAACTGTTATGAGCAAACCTTTTTCCTAGAAAAACATCATGGCGAAATAAATAAGCAGTAAACTCCCAGTGCAATTTATTTGGGAAAAGAAATGTCAGAATTCACAACCCCAAAGCCTGTCTGAGAGTTATCATTCTGCTGTCTTTCACTTTTACTCGTTCATTTCCTGCTTTGATTAATGCCTGCAGTGTTGAAGTCCTATTATAGATAGAATAGGAAAATGTGACATTAAACATGAGAAAAAAGAGCAGAGGAGACACAGGCCCACTCACTCAGCAGGTCAGCAGCCTGCCTCAGCGTCCGTGGACAGTTTCACAGAACTACACTGTGTGCGCCTGGTGGGGCGGGGGGCGGGGAGACAATCAAATCATCTAGTAAGAAAGTATGTAAGATGCTCTAAAAACATAACCCCGTTATCCTAATATTAATTTGGGGTTTCATATGTCTCCTACTAAGTGTACTGTGGGCCTGGTTGCTAGATCTTCTGACTTTTCAAGAGACAGAAATCTAGGGCACGGTGGTGCATGCCTATAATTCCAGTACTCGGGAGGCTGAGGCAGGAGGATTGCTGTGAGTCTGAGGCCAGCCTGAGCTACACAGCAAGCTCAAGGTCAGCCTATTACTATATAGTGAGACAGACAGACAGGCAGGTAGATGACAGAGACACATAGAAACAGAAACAGAGACAGAGACATAGACAGACAGAGATAGAGACAGAAACAGAGATGCAGGTTTTTTGTGGAAAAAATGTTTCTAACATGTTAGTCACTAAGAGAATTAAATGTTGCAAAAGCTTAAGCAAACAAGTCCCCAGAATGCAAGAGTTGGCCTATATGCATAGGCAGTCATATTTACTCGTTTTACAACAGACAGTTGTACAATTTGCCTTTGCTAGAATCCAAAAATCTGTTTCCATATGTATCTTGTATTCTCTTTTCGAACCCATCTATACCATGTGTGGTTAATAGTCCCTTAAAATCAAACTGTCCTTTCTTCCTTTAGAAAGGAATTTCAGTGCTTTCAAAAACTACAGTTTGAAGTCGGATTAGGGGATTAAATTATGTTAGTTTCAAAGAGTTTTCCAAAACTTATATCAATTATCTTACCACCAAATCTCATTCCGTGGAGAAGCAGTTAAGTATGTACAATTGTACAAACACACACATACACATAGAACACATCACACTGATGACAGCTCAAATCAAACTATTAGAGTTGTTACTCTCAACATCACCGTGCACCTTCCTTACCGGAGCTCCCCTTCCTGGGAGCCTCTCTAAACTGCCACCATTGCACCTCCTCCTCAGCACATATCATACACTGTATCATAAGTGTACTGTACCACAATTGCATGGCACAGGGCCTAACGCACAGTAGACACAGTAAAGAGTTATTGCATGAACCACTATCATCATCAAAATAAGTTACCACTTTGAGAGTAGATACTAGGTACTAAGTAGTTTGCCTCTGTTAACCTGGAGGCTTTCCCAGGCCAGATCACACAATCCAAAGCAGCCCCTCCTCTCTAGGACACAACTTGGATAGGATTTATGGCTTTCTAATATATGTTTAACTATGTCCAGATTATCATCTGTCACTTATCAGTAGAAAATGCTAGAACAAGAATGTCATCTACCTCATGCTTGGTACACAGAAAGGAAATTAGTGGATTTAAACATCTGGCCTCTTGAGGAGAGTCTCAAGAAATTCTGTTTTAAATTTTACGTTCAGATTTCAGGATGATTGCATTGACTAATCTGTAGTGGAGCATGGCTAAAGAAGTTACCCAGGTTCTAACATTGGTACAGGAATTTCTGCTGCAATAAGAAAGCCACTTCCTGTGACATAAGGTCCTCTACACGTCAGGATTTTGCCACATCCTGACAGACAACACTCATCAGGCTAGGATGGCTGGGGCAGCGCGCACCCCACAGCCGCTCACACTAAAAGAGGGTGCAAGTGGAGGAGACACCGACCCCTCGGTCGGCCTCGGCCGCCGATGAGCGTAGTGCAAGGTCTGCGCGGGACCGGGCGTCACCCCGGGCTGCAGGACCATGTGGTGAGGCTGTCGGCCCCGCAATTGTCCGCCTCGAGACTCCCTCATGCGCCATTTCCTCTTGTCCCAAAATCCCACCGTCCCAAAGCACAGGGTTTGACCGTCACAGTCCCCCAGGCCTCCAGGGGGCGAAACCATTGAGCCCTACGAAACGTGTTGAAAAACGGACCTCAGTGCCCCATAGGAGCGAGTCCCAGCGACCTACGGAACAGAGCTCCACGGCCACCTGGAGCCCCGCCCGCCTCCCGAGGCCCCGCCCGCCTCCCGAGGCCCCGCCCACCCCTGGGCCCGCCCGCCTCCCGAGGCCCCGCCCACCCCTGGCCCCGCCCACCCCAGCCCCACCGCCCGAGGGCGTCCTGCCAGGCCCCGCCCCCCGGGGCCGCCCTCCGCCTCGCGCGGTGCCCAAGTCGCGCAGGCCGGCGGGTTTAGTTGCCGCTGCGGCTGCGACTCCTCCGCGTCCTCGCTCGTTCCCGCTGCCGCCATGCCTGGAGGGCTCCTTCTCGGCGACGAAGCTCCCAACTTCGAGGCCAACACCACCATCGGCCGCATCCGTTTCCACGACTTTCTGGGAGACTCGTAAGTGCCCCCCCCACGCAGTCCCGCCCTGGTCTCCCTGCTCAGGACTCGGCGGTGCCTTCCCCAGTTCTCCTTTCCGTCCCTGCGTGTCGCCTCTGCCCGCTCCCGCTCCTGCTCCCGCGCGCCCGCCTGCCCCTCTGCACCGCCGCTGGGTCGCCTGCCCTTCTGCCTGGGCTGGCTTGGGGAAGAGGGGCATGCAGGGGGAAAGGTTTGCTGTTCATTTACCTTGGTTTGGTCCGCTGTCCAAGCTGTGAGGTCCGGCCGAGGCCTGGTGAAGGGGTGGGCAAGGGCATGGTGTGATTGGCGGTCACTTCCGGAACTCGTGCCCAGGGTCGCACAGTCCCCCTGGAGAAGCCGGGTACCTCAGGCCAAAGTTGGAACCCGGCAAGTTAGGAAAGCCCCCCGCAGTGGTATCTGAGGGAACCCCCCACTGTGGTATCTGAGGTTTCTGTCTGTCACGGTATTTGCAGACTTCTGAACACAAAATGTAATATTTTAAACCACCAGCGGCCAAGTAAGTGGCTGAAAGACCTTTTGTACAGATCCTCCTCCAATGACCAAGATAGGATTTGATGTAACCACTTTCATGCGGAACCAAGAACATTGTGTGTAGTGTGTCCTTCATTCCAGAACTTGCAACAGTTTGAGTAGAGGTGTTGAACTACTGTGACTTACCTTGCCTGTGTAGGCCGGTCTGGACGCAGGGAGAACGTGTACCTCCCCACTTTGAGACCCTTTTGTTTGCCAGCTGACCCCTCCCCCTCCTGTGCAGTCTCCAGCACTGGGGCTTGGGCTTGATAGCCAGATTGGTGACCCATGGTGATATCACAATAACTAGAAGTGAATAGATGTCACCCTTGATGTACAGCTCCTGAATCAGCAAACTATAAATTGCTTAGTTTTAATCAAAAGCATACCAGACATAATCTAATTACATTATGATTCTAGAGTCCTAGGCCCCAGGCTAGAAAATTACTCCTAGGTGTGTGTCCTTTATGTATCCAGGATCTAGACATATATTCATAGAGACTGAGCCACAAGCCTATGAAATTAATCAGTGATTGGACAGGGCAGAATAGAAGATCTGGGAGTCTTACACTCAGGCCTACTCAATCCTTTTAAGTCTGTTTTCCAACTACTGATTAAGGGAAAATTAAGCTTTGCAAAAGGGGTAGGCTAGAAGAAGGGTGATGAGTGGGACTCTCAGACTTTGGAAGCAGAAGGCTTCAGGAATATAAATTATAGCTGGTCTCAATTCAGAATATAGATACTAGCTTTTCTCCAAAACTCCATAGGATTTTCGCAGTGTGATCCTAGCCATTTCTGTCTACAACCGTCACTCCCAGGCAACAAAATCTTAACAGAGCTCTTAGTTTTTGTATGAATTAGAGTTCAATATTAACTTAAAGCAAGAAATATATATATTAAAGCATATTTACTTTAGCAACAGTTTTAAATGCTGTCATTATTTAAGCTAACCATACCTTTTGGTTCTTTCTTTGTTGACTGCTAGATCTAGCCAGCTTTGATTAAAAGTGGCATCTTCTCAAACTCCATTCTACCTATGATTTCAGGGTAGACTGTCAATTTCTGATCTAGGATTTCTTCAGAATACTGTAACATAAAACTTTAGAGTTAATCTATCCTACCTATGACAATTGGAAACAACTTTGGTCTGCATTTCATGAGTGTATGGAGGCTTATCACTAGTTCTGTATGTGATAGCAGCTTCATAGTACATCTTCAGAAAGAGCTTTACCGGGCTTCCTGGACTCAGTAAATGGAGACCATTCTCTTTAAAAGGAGGAAATCTTTTGTCTTTTGAAAATGAGGAAAGAAATGGGATAATGTAATTACACTTCCGAGCAGCAGTCTGGAAACAGAGGGGAAGGTAGGCCAAGGTAAAATATTATTGGAATTTATTCTTTTTCTAGCTCTAGCCCTGTGAGTTTGGCTTCTGAAAGAGGACAGGTTTTTTTTTTTTTGTCTTTTTCATGGTGGGGGGTGGGTCGAACTCACGACCTCACACAAGGCAGGCGCTTATGCCGCTGAGCTAAATCCCTAGCACTGAGGGCCGGATTGAAATCGTTTAAAACCAGTTCCTCAGCATGACTCAGCAAAACATTCTGGACTGACTCACAATGGAAAGTCTAATTCACACCCCTTTGTCAATGCAAAAATGGCCAGTTCCACCCCAACCCACCCATCCTGGGAACTTTAAGTCAGTTGTAGTCCTTAAATAGGTCATTTCTAAAAAAAATTAAAGTTCAAAAGTTTGCTCAGAGCTAGATTACTTATTTCAAAATATATCCCTTTTATTGCTCTTTATTAAATACAGACATGCCACACACCCTGATTTGTTTCTTCACCCCAGGACCTTTCATCTTTTTTGTAAGATCTTTTCCTTGACTAAATCCTTGGGAGTTCTAAGTATTAACCTAAGAATTGCAGTAGCTGTAGAAGTCTCCACTGTAACATTTTAGTTTTTCCACCTGCTTGATTTAAAACAGAAGAAAAAGAAACTGCAGGTGAAGAGAAAGATAAAACTGTAAAAGTGTTGTTGTTTTGTCCCATTGGTTGTCTTTTTTGGAAGGCTACTTAAAAATATTTTATATTCCCTCAATTCAGAGAAGCCAAGTGCTAGCCTTAATGTTACTTAGTTGAGCTGGAAACCTTTTTGTTTTGGGTTACATAATCTGTTTATTCTTAAATTCAGGCAGCTGCTTGGATTCAGGGCATATTGGGAGCTGAACATTACGATCTGTGCTAGAAAAAAATGGGTTGGAAACGCAGAAGAGGAAATAAAAAGTTATTTCAGGCTACTCAGCTTGGGTAGCAGATTTTATTAGCTGAAAAGGAGTCAGAATGGTTCCATAGTTATTAAAGGAGGCAACACCCTAAAATTAGTCTTTTTAAATACTTACCTGGAATTTTGTGTCTTAATTGAATGGAGCTATCCAAATAGGCTTTTCTAGAGAGAGTTTAAAAATGCACTTCTCAACTGAAAAGTTGGTAAGTTCAGAAGTATTTATTTAAAAACAAAAGCCTGTTTTAAATGCAGATGTGGCTTTTGGTTGTGAACAGTATGGGTAACTGGTAACTGCATTCTGTGGTGACCTTCTTTTCCTTGTTTCAGATGGGGCATCCTCTTCTCCCACCCACGAGACTTTACGCCTGTGTGCACCACAGAGCTTGGCAGAGCAGCAAAGCTGACACCAGAGTTTGCCAAGAGGAATGTTAAGTTGATTGCCCTTTCAATAGACAGTGTTGAAGACCATCTTGCCTGGAGCAAGGTAGACTTCAGTGATATGTGAAGTAGATTTTTTTGTTTCTCCTTTCCTCTTTCCTCCCATACAACTCCTGAAATCTTTGATATCTTCCAAGTAAGCAGTGTTCTTTTGTATGCTAATGAGTGGACCAGCAGTTGGAATGCTTTGGGTAGCCTCAGAGGCCTTCAGTCTGGTCTTTGAACAGAGTGAGGCAAGATTAAAAGGTTGGGACTTTCAGCATCATACCCCTGCTCTGGGGATTAAACAAAAAGGGGGATGGATTTAAGGTTGAACTGATCACCAGAGGCCAATGAATTAACCATTCATCCCTTTGTAATGAAGCTTGCATAAGAACCCAGAAACTTGCAGGTGCTTCTGTGTAACTAAACACATTCCTGGAGGGTGGTATGCCTAGAGAAGGATGGGAGCTCCAAACCTCCCTCGATTGCATCTTTTGTCTATGCCTTTTTAACAAAAGTCTTTCCTTAGGCAAGGGATATGGCTCAGTGGTAGAGTTCTTGCCTTGTGTTATCAGCTCCACCAAAAAAAAAACTGACAAGAGTCTTAACTTGAGTTCTGTGAGCTACCCTAGCAAATAAGCAACACCAAGCAGTGCGTCATGGCACTTGAGTTTATAGCCTGTCAGAAGCACAAAGAAAGCAACCTGGAGCTTGCAGTTGGCATTAATGGGGAGGCGGACTTGTGAGGCCAAGTGGTATCTGATACTATCTCTAGCTAAAGAGTCCACATTGAGTTGAATGAAGAAGGCTGGTGTCCATTAAAGAACTGATTGATTGATTGATTGATTGACTGACTGATTGATTGATTGAAGAGATGAAAACCCCAGCTACTTGGTGACTAGAAGTCACAGAAATTATGTGTTGCTAGTTTTTTGTTTGTTTGTTTGTTTGTTTGTTTTCTCTGTATCATCAAAAGTATTGCTTTTCCGGGGTATATGCTTTGAGCCTGAGGTATATAGGAATTCTAGAGTAGCTTGATTATTTTAGATAAAAGTACAAGAAAACTTCAGGTTTATAAGTCACTAGTTATTTGAAAATCTGACTGGGACTTCATGGCAATCTCTGTTGACAAGTGCAGTAGTCAGGTCTCAAGTACTGTTTTCCTTGCCCCACCTGCAGCATTTGGCCCCACTGATAACTCGGTGTCCTGAAATTCCACCTCTGGCTTCCTGGATATCACATCCTTGCTGTTGATGCTCACACCTTAACTGGTTTTTATTGTCTCTCAACTCCTAATTTATGCTGAAATTGCCTTGAACTAGTTCTTGCATCACTTTTCCATCTCTTGGTAAGCTCATCCCCTCATATCTTTAAATAATATCTGTATGCTGTGATTCTTGATTTCCATCTCTGGGCCAGATCCTGCTGGTCTCCAAGTTGGTAAAACCACGGTTTGTGCAGCCTCTGTCCTGTGTGCCCAGTCTTCTCAAACAGTTTGTCTCAATCTGGGCCCCAGTCTTCATCCAGCATCTTATTCATCTCAGCTAATGGTGACTAGGGTTGTTGTTTGTTTGTTTTTAGTAGTTGCTCAAGGAAAAAGTCCAGAAGACATTCTTAACTCCTTGGATTCATCCACAAACTGCTTGACTCTGCCTATGAAGTATACCCAGGCTTGTGTTTGGAAAACCTGCTCCCTGGGTATATCTTTGTGGTTTGACCTACCTTCTAGTTCTGTAGGAAACTTCCAGGGGCCTCTATCATGAAATCATAGTGGTTATTACTTTCTTGTGGTAACTTGGTAGGCAGCTGGCTCAGTGACTAGTAAAGTTCGAATGAAAAAATTAATGAATGTTAAAAGCTCTTAATCCATTCAGAGTTCATTAATGTCACTTTTTACTTCATCTCTGTTGAGAAATGCAAAAAGGTTTTGTGTCTACTATGCCATTAACTCCCTCTATTACTCTTAGGGTTCCATATGAATAATAAATAGACCTTTTCTTAAATCTAGATCTAACTCCTCATTGTTTCTTCAAACTACCACACTTAAGTTCCTCACTCCTGTATAATAGTTTATGCATGATCCCGCCTACATGTTTCATTGGTGTTATTCCCCCCACAGAGTCCTTCCATTGCTCAGTGAAAAATCTTACCTATCCTTCAAGAGCCCAGAAGAACTTTGCGTGCGTCTTTCCTGAAACCTTTCCCAGCTCAGCAGTTCCGTCAGTGGAGATGTGGGTGTATCTCCACATTTGTAGCACTACTGAAGCATTATTGTCTTTTGTCTGCTATACTACTTCATGTAGGAATTACTTAGCAAATAGGAAGTTCCTTTGATGTGAGAGCCATGTCTACATATCTGTATTCCACATATGCTTACTGTAAGTGTCCTGTCAACACTTGATCAAATAGTGAAAGTAGACCTGCCAGACATGGGAGTGCACACCTGTAATCCCAGCACGCGGGGGTGCTGAGGCAGGAGGATTACAAGAGAAAAGTTAAATAATGCTTTTAATTAAGGGAGAAGAGAAGTACGTCATTTGCTTTTGTTCTGACTTGAAATGCTTTTCACCTAGGTATTTTTCATTTGTCCTTAGCATATACATTCAAAGCTCCCTTACAGTGTTAAGTTTTGTGACACACACAAACCCCCAACCTTCATTTCTCAGGATCTGTAGCCTGGCGTCCTAAATCAGGGTACTTTTGAGGCGTGGGCCTAATCTGCAGACTGTGCTTTCCATGTAGCATTATTTCTAGATATCTGGAACCTATTATTTCCGATTTTTTTTTTTTTTTTTTGGTACTGAAAATTGAACTCAGAACCTCACACTTGCCAAGCAGGTGCTATGCAATAAGCTGTATCCCCAGCTCTGATGTTTTTAATAGGATCTGAGTATCCAGTTACCTGCTATTGGAATCATAGTAACTATATTAATGGACTTTTTAAAGAGCCTGTTGAGGCTTCCTCAAAGCAAATACATTAAATTTAAGAAAATTGGGTGTAAATAGATTTTGATCTGTGAGTACTTTGCTGTTATTCCTACCATTAAATAATTAGGAGAAGTTTTGGGGGGTTTTGTTTGTTTGTTTTTTTGGGGTTTTTTTGGTTGGTTGGTTTTGGGTTTTTTGAGACAGGCTCTTGCTATGTGATTCAGGCTGGTTTTGAACTCATAGCAATCCTGTCTCGGCCTCCCAAGTGCTGGGATTACAAGCACGGACCACACACCCAGCTTCATTCATTTTCTTACTAAAATTGCTTAGAGAAATCACTATGATGATGATTTTCTTTCTTTCAAAGTGATCACTATTAACTGATGAAATTCAGAGAATGTGTCAGGTTTGGAATTTTCCTTTCTCTTGCCTTTCCAGGATATCAATGCTTACAATGGTGATGAGCCCACAGAAAAGTTACCTTTTCCTATTATTGACGATAAGAATCGGGACCTTGCCATCCTTTTGGGCATGCTGGACCCAGCAGAAAAGGACGAAAAGGGCATGCCTGTGACAGCTCGCGTGGTGAGTCTTCATCCACTTTGTAGTCAGCAGGGCCAGTCAGGCTCGGTGGGACTATTTGGCCTGATAGGAGGAAATCTGGATATCTACAGTTACTAAATAACTGTACTGATAATGATATTATCGATTGTGTGTAATTCTAATGCAAAGTGATAGGAATAGTCTGCTAAATTCTTTAATTCATTGCTCTCAGAAATTGTAGATCAAGTCATTTATTCTAAAGCGCTGTGTAGAATAAACCTTTTCTATAGCTGTCCCGAGAGATCTGTCTTTAAAGTGGTGAGCTATATTCTTCTTCATATGTCAACTCACTTTTTCATTCTTATTTTTTCCTGTCTTCTATCCAGTAAAAAATAAACGCATCTGCATAATGTACAGCTATTTGAGGCCCAGCATCAATTCCAGATAATGTTATTTTTTATGATAATCATCCCCGGTTGACATAACCCCTTCACAGGGCCTTTCTTGGGTGAAGGTTGTATAGCCTTTTTTTCTTACTGGGGCAGCCAGGACCAAATAGAATTTTCTTTTAAGTTTTGAAAGTAACAGAAAAGAAAATTACACTGTGGTCACCCCAGTGAGCAGTTTGTTATGTCCTTGTTAGGTGATTGTTTTGTTTCTGTTTTTATTTTTATAGCCTTGCGTGTTTTTAATGACTACAGAACTTTCTCTGAGTAGCTTTAATTTCAAAAGTACTGGAAGGAGCTCTTTCTGTTTATGCCTCTCTGTGCTTTGCAGGTATTCATTTTTGGTCCTGACAAGAAACTGAAGCTGTCCATCCTCTATCCTGCTACCACAGGCAGAAACTTTGATGAGATTCTCAGAGTAGTTATCTCTCTCCAGCTGACAGCAGAAAAACGGGTTGCCACCCCTGTGGATTGGAAGGTAAAGATATTAAAAGAGCAGATACTCAGCTTGTCTGGAGGGCCTAAAGGACCCGTGTCTAAATGGTTGCCTCCTGGAACTAAGCTTATGGCATTCAAGTGGGGAGGATTTTTCCTTAAGACTAAGTTTGAGATCTGCTAAGAGGTCACAGCACACAAAACAGAACTTTCACATTGCTTCCTGACTGGTAAAGAAGTTGGACAAATTGATCAGAATGATTTCTTTTTCCTTTTGGTTGGTTGGTTTTGAGTTTTTTGAGACAGGCTCTTGCTATGTGATTCAGGCTGGTTTTGAACTCATAGCAATCCTGTCTCGGCCTCCCAAGTGCTGGGATTACAAGCTTTTCCCTAGATAGGTTAAGCAGTCCTAATCCTAAAGTCCAGAATGCTCTTAAGTCTTGAAATTTCTTGAGGGTATGATGGCATTGAGAATTCAGGTTTTTAGGTTGAGGAATACTAAATTAGTAAAGTCTATACAAACATACCTGTCCTGAAATACTTCTGTTCCTAAGCATTTCGAGTTAAGGGATAGTCAACCTACACAAGATTTTTTAAAATAACAAACCATTCCTTGATAAAATATTTATAGCCAAATCTTGATTGCCTATTTTTTAAGTCATAGATATTAAGCTATTGATGTGTTAACATTATGATGCATTATATTTTTTCTAAGCTCCGGTCTTTTAAACATAGAAGTCTCTAAAATTTGTTCATAAACTTAAAATCTTTTGAAATATATAAGACAAAAATAATATCCCAAAGAGTATCCCTATGTTGCTACATTTTTTTAAAAATACGCTTACCTGCAGTGGGTGGGTGGGTTGGTGGGTTTTCTGACAAGGAAATCATTTAAATTCTGTACCCCTTAGTGGCACACAAGCTTACTGAGCCCTGATGGTGAGCACTAGGGAGCTAGCAGTGCAGTTCCTGCCCTTGTACTTACATTCCAGTGGGTGGACACTGCAGTATGTAAATCTACAGTCTATTGAATGGTGATGAAGATGCTACAGGAAATAATAAGCAGGTGTTGGCTTTATAGGCCAAAGAATGACTGTCAAGGAATGCCTTGGGAGGGGACCTATGGAAAGAACATAAAGAAAGTGGGTAACCAAGTCATGCATAGTAGAGAGGGACGATCAGTGGCGGCAGATGGAGCTTTACCTGTAGTGAGGACCTGAAGGGAGCCAGTGAACCTGTGAGCAGAAGAGCTAGAAATGAGGGGGCCAGGTCCAATCCACGGACAGACTTGGAATTAAACTTAGAACTATGGTAATCAGTCATTCCTGGGCTTAAAACAGGACTCTTGTTAAGATGGGGAATCGCTGTTCTCAGAAAAGTATCAAAATCGAATTTGTGAAAAAAATTCCTCAGAGAAGAGAGAATAAAAGGATACTTAATTATTTTTATTAACATCTGTACTACTTTTCCAAAGTTAATTCTTGGAATACCTTTTGCCATTACATAAGATTGAATTTCACCATCTTGAATGTCTTTCAACAGGATGGAGATAGTGTGATGGTCCTTCCAACCATCCCTGAAGAAGAAGCCAAAAAACTTTTCCCTAAAGGAGTCTTCACCAAAGAACTCCCATCTGGCAAAAAGTACCTCCGCTACACTCCCCAGCCTTAGGTCTGCGAAGCTGAGGCTGTAGCTACTCGCTCAGTGAGCCAGAAGGTGCCAGCTGCCATCACCTTTTCCTGCAGCTGCTCCATAAGAATATCCTGGTGTGATAACAGCCAAGGTTTTTAGGTTGCTATATTACTGGCTTATTAAACGGAAGTAGCACTAAAGTTTTCTTGGGATTCTTTACTATGTGCCTTCACCAACACTGTCCTGTTCACACATCTCGGCCCTCTGCTGCTGGCTGGCTCTCCTTGAAAATTATTCTGTATTCAACAATCTGATTTTGTTTGGTGTCTGCTGGGTTTGTGATCAACAAGGTAGTATTCATTGATGGTTGAGAATACTTACCTTTCTTTTCACAGAATGACTATCAATTTTTGTAACTGTTGATCAAATCTTCTGTTCCCACTTTGGAGAGCAACAGAACTGGAAATTCACGTTCCTCTATAAATATCTAAGCATATAGTCCAGGAACTCAGATATTTTTTAACGTTTAGTTTTTTAATCACAGCTGGAGAGGAGAACTTTTCAATTCTGTTTCTTATAAAGCCTGATGGGTGAGGTTTATATGTTTGAAAAAAATTGTGATAAATTTCTGTGAAAGGGGGAAACCCACAGAAAAGGCCTCCTTTGCTGCAGGGAGCTGCACCTGAAGGCATGAGTGTAGGTGCCATGTGCCTTTCACCAATCACTGCTGTGAAGATGCGTGGGAGCCCACACCTCTTGGAAAGATGAGGATGATCTAAAATGTGTCATAGTACTGTTCTTAAAGTGGGTTGTTATTTTCTGGATTTTGCTTTTAGGGGATCAATAAATAAAATCCTTTGTTAAAACTAGATCAGTGAATTTTTTGTTACATTTTAAAATACTTATTTAAACTCGTGTCTTGAAGGGCAGTGGCTTCCTTCTTGCTAGGATTGGCATAACTAGTTTCTCCAAAGACAGAATATAAAATGTCATATGATGAAAATGGAGGAAAAGCTAAACAACATAATGATTTCCATATATGTCTTGGCCCACTTTTCATCTTGCTCTTTCATATTTTTTTGACTCAGAATCCCATGGGATTTGTGATTCCTGGTACAAAATCAAACCTAATGCCTTGATGAGGTAACTGGATTTAAAGATACAGATTCTGAGAATAACGAAATATCTGTAATTGTTGCTCTGGATTTAGTCATTCCATCCAACTTGTATTTTACCATGTGAATAAGTCTTTACGTTTGCAAAGAACTGTCCCACTTAGGAGTATGCAGGCTCTTCCAGTCAAGAACCATAGACTGGGAGGGTTAAACACTAACCATTTAATTCTTCTCACTATTTAGCAAGCTGAGAAGTCCAAGATGAAGGCAGTAGCACATCCCTTGTCCGGTGAGGGGCTGCTCCCTGGTTTGTAGGTTCTTACATGACGTTTCTATTGACTAGAATAAAACAACAAAAATCTTTGCTGTGTGCATAACAAGTCATTAAGTCTTATGTTTCCTTGATTTCTGTATATGTAAAGTTTGGGTGATGCTAAGAACATTGAAAAGGTTGGCAAAAATCTGAGGCTCCACAACATTGTGGAGAGGGCTGATCTGGAAGATTGAGAAGGGCTGGTCACCTAGTATCACTATTTTCTAACTGTTTTGCTCCTCAAGAATTTAACATCAGCTGTCCCTTGTGTCTTCTGACTTCGCTCACTCCAGTCTCCTGTCATTTCCCTGGCAAATAGGTTCCTTCCTGCTCTCTCCCCTTTGACGTTTGTCCTGTAGTGCTTATCTCATGAAGTGTCTAGTTTTAGTTTTCTTTTGTTGACCATTCAAAGCTTCAGTCTCCAGTGTTAATTACCTGAGTCCTGTTTATTCACTGATGAAACACTTGCCATTGAATTAGCAGATTCAAAACCAGTTCTTCAACTCTCCCCCCAACATTTTACATGTAACTGCCTCCCACCCTGCCCTCAAGCTTGCAAGCCCTGGTGTTTTGTGTGGCTCTATTCTACACACATGTTGCTGTCCCTACAAAAATGTTGAAGGAATTCAAGGAAAAGGAGTCATGCCCTCATCCAATTCTAGTGCTTTCATTAAATAACATTGAAACTGTAAGACTGCAAGTATACCTTTCCAAGTGTTCCATAGTGAGTTTTTTTCCAAGCTGAGAGTGATCGTGAGTACACTCTTTAATCATGGGGCAGATTCCCTTGTAAAGTTCACTTCTCATAGAATAAATGTCATGCATCCAAAAATTTACTTGTTAAAATAGCATAATCATGGCAGCAAGGGGAAACGAGATTTGAGAGGCATTTACACAACTTTTCAAGAATAAGGAAATGCTTTGACTTAAATGGTTTTTATGATATGCTAATAAATTTGTGGTTCCACATGTGGTTAAAAGCATGCTCTCCAAATTCCATGCCCAGGCTAAAGGTGTTCTGTGGTGGCATATGCCTATAATCCCAGCACTCAGGAGGCTGAGGCAGGAGGATTGCCAAGAATTCAAAGCCAGCCTGAACTTCACAGTCTCAAAAAGACAAAAAATCAAGATATTCAGAGAGAAGTTAAACAAGAATGACCAAGTCAAATACCAGTTCCTTCATGGAGTCAACTGTCAGTGATTTATTTATTCTAACATTCATGTGACCCTTGCACTTTGAAGCCATGCAAACAGAAAATACAACTTTGTAGAACTGGTTAAAAGATGACCATGTGATTTATTTCATGCCCATGGAACAAACAGAAGATTGTTGGAAGTTATCTAGAATTGTCTTTCTGAGGAATAATTTAAAGCTTTTCCTTTTTCTTTTGTCTCCTACTGAATTTGACTGAGCAAGAAAGTAAAGTGCTAATTGCTGTTAGCAGCCAGGTTCTACTGAGGCACCCTTGGGTGTTCTGACCATGACTGCTCAGTTGTTTTCAGTTTGTATTGACCCACACAACCAAAGGTCAGTCTCCAGAAAGGAAGCCAGCTGTCTGTCTGTCCATTGACTTCAATGGAAATTCTCCAAAGAAATGCTGGAGAAACCTGTCCTCTGCTTTAAGAATGGCAGCTGCTGTAGAAGTGATTGACACACTGGCAAAATAACCACTGTCTGTCAAAGTTCTATAAGGGGTAGTTAAAAGCCTGACCAAGATCATTACCTAAGGAACTAAGGACTTAGCCCAGTGGCACAAGTACCTGCCTGGTAAGCATGAGGTCATGAGTTCAATCCCTGGTACAAAAAAAAAAAAAAAAAAAGATCATTATGTAGCTCTTTATAAATTGACACTAGAGAACGGTGGAGTTTTCAGCAAATAGGCGCACACTATCCCTGGAGCCCAGTCTATTTGGGACTCCTGCACCTCACCACCGGTGTGCAGAGGAAGGGCTGGGGCAGATCTGGGGCGCCTGCATCTGCCTGCCCGTGTGTCTGGAGGACTGTGGATATCTCAGCAAGCAGGGGAGCATCGCAGGTTCCAGAGGCCCCGCAGCCTGCGGTACGTGTTCAGTGCACTCTGCCCAAAGCCCAGACTGTTTGGGACCCTTCAGGCTTCCGGGTGCAGTGAAGTGGATAAGTGGGTCTGAGGCATCTACGTCCGCCTCCCCATTCCAGCTGCGCTTGGAGAACTGAGGAGCTTCCAACAAGCAGGTGAGCGCACAGTGTCCCTGGAGCCCAGCTTATTTGGAACTTCGGAGTTCTAAACAGGCAGAAGAGGGCCATTGGTTCTACAGGCCCAGTGGCTTGGGGGAACTGGGTGCCAGAGTCTCAGGAGCTGTGAACATAGAAGGGGATTTCCAACAGACCCTGAGGAAGCTTTCAAATAACACTTGAAACACAGAAATATAGGAAAATGACAAAACGAAAGACCAAATTACAACCTCAAACCTCTAGCCCATCTCAAGAAACCCTAGGAGCGATGTATATAGAAGAAAATACATGCCATTCACCTCAAATATCGGACATAATAGCTACTGAAATTAACAAGCAACTCCAGGAAGCTTTAAAGGAATTCAAACTCGAAATACTCTCCCAGGTAAAAGAAGAAATGATAAAAGAAATGAAAGAGATTCTGAATGTATCTAAAGAAAACACAGTTAAAAGATTGGAGGAACTATGGGGCTGGGGATTTAGCTCAGCGGCATAAGCACCTGCCTTGCAAGCAGGTGGTCATGAGTTTGATCCCTGGTACCGATAAAAAAAAGAACAAGACAAAAAAAAAAATTGGAGGCACTAAACGAAAAGATAGAATCCCTAGATGAGCAATATAAGAAGCAAACAATACATAATGCAGATGCACAGAAATATACAGGAAATAAAAAACTCCACTGAAAGTTGTAAAAACCGCCTCAATGAAAGTGAAGATAGAATTTCAGACCTTGAAGACAGGATTGCAGCTAGTGAACAGGAAAGGAAAGATCTTTTAAAAATAACAAGGAATCAGGAAACAACAATTCAAAAACTGCAAGATGATGCAAAGAAAAATAACATAAGAATGATAGGGATTAATGAAAAAGAAGGAGACAACATAAAGGATGTCAAGAGGATATTTAGAGAAGTAATAGCTGAAAATTTCCCAAGCATGAGATCAGAAACCGACATCAGGATCAGTGAAGCATATAGAACTCCAAATAGTCATAACCAAAATAAAACTACAACCAGACATATAATAATCACCATCCCAGAAATCCAACACAAGAATAGATTATTAAAAGCTGTCAGAGAGAAAAGACAGATCACTTACAAAGGAAAACCTACCAGAATCACAGCAGACTTCTCAGCACAAACAATAAAGTCAAGAAGAGCATGGAGTGAAGTATTCTAGATCCTAAAGGAAAATGATTTCCAACCTACACTGGTGTACCCTGAAAAACTGTCCTTCAGAATTGATGGAGAGATAAGATACTTCTATGACAAAGAACAGCTGAAGAACTTCATGATCACCATGCCAGCCCTGCAAAGAATACTGAAAGACAGTTTAGATACACTTAGGAAAAAACCACTAAGCAAAGCAGACAATTAAACACAACAGAAAGTTAAAGATGCAACAGCAGAAAGATAACATGTCATCAATAAACCAATATATAACAGTTATAACCATTAATGTAAATGGTCTCAGTGCACCAATTAAAAGAAACAGACTGGCAGAATGGATCAAGAAACAACATCCAACCATATGCTGTTTACAAGAAACCCATCTAACCCAAAAAGATACTCACAGACTGAAAGTCAAAGGATGGAAAACAATACTTCATGCAACAAGAACCAAAAAAAAGTGGGGGTAGCTATTATGTTTGCAGACAATGTGAACTTCAAACCAAGAATGATCAGAAGAGATAAAGAAGGTCATTACATACTAGTTAGGGGAAAACTTCAAGAGGAAGAAATAACAATCTTAAATGTATATGCAACAAATTTCAGAGCACCCAGTTATATAAAGCAACTATTAATAGGAATGAAAAACCAAATTAGCGGACTCTGGGAGAACATGGCGGACAGACAACAGCAACTACCGAAGGCTCTCTGAAAGACTCGGCTCAGAGGCCAGGAATGATGCGGACTAAGGAGACACGAACCAGTAGAGATATGCTCTGCTGACTCAGGAACGAGCTGGGCTGAGAGAAACCAACTTAGAATATAGTCCTGGCGCTAAAATAGGAACAGAAAAGACTCGGTGTAGAGGCTCGACCCCGCGCCATTGGAAACCGCGATTTGGGTTTCCCGCTGCCCGGCGGCTGGCTGCCTCCACAAGCGGCTCGGCAAGGAGAGACGCGCAGAAGCTCTGGGAACGGGAGTCTGCGAACGGAGTCGAAAACAGGACGGATAAGGAGGCGTACACGAAAACTGACTGGTGGCGAGGTGAGTGAGAAACTGACCCCC